AATACTAACTCTACATTCACAGTGACAATTATGATTTTTCTCATATATGATCTGTTCTTTACAGGCGGAAATAGGCGGACGTATAACAGTGTTTCAAGCGTCGATTCCTAATATTGGACCTGCTAGTTTGAAACCACGCGAAGATCCGAATCAGAGAGCAGCGAATGTATGTTGCAAAAAATTTTGTTTGTTAGAAGACATTCTTATTTTTCCCGTGATCGAATGTGGAGGTACGGTTTGAAAAAAAACCTATGAAAATAAAAGTGAAACTTTAAGTAGGTCCCAGAGGTCCAAAAGTGAGAACATGGTTCAGGGATCCTAGATCTGTGCACGATGCTCTGTTATCCTTCGAAGAATTCCGGATGCGTGTGTTTTCAGGATGTTCAAAATCTCGGACCAGTAACCGATTTCTATAAATGTCTTGCTTTGGAATGTACCGGACATCAAGTAGCTCTTGATCTGTTCCTGCTCAATTCGCAATACGCTGACCTTGCCACTCTGTGTAAGCTTCGGTTAAGATTTTATAAGATTCGTAATTATTATTCGCTATTTCGCTACCTTTTAAGCGGAAATGTCCAAGTTCTCCACTGGTTGTGTGTACCACTTCCCGAACTACCATTGTCTCAACGATACTATACAGGTGTGTGGATACTTTTCCGTTTTTGGCTGAACCTTGCTTCCTCTTCTCGTCTACTACAAGCGGCGTAGTACTCTTCAAACCTGGCTGCACTTTCTCAAACCTTCGTAGTACTCTGGCTTTGCGAGGACTTATCCTGAAGCGCATGTCTCGTATGTATTTGATGTTCAAGCACCTCCTTTGGGCAATGTAGTACTGCCTGCAAGCAGGGAGGATGCAATACTTCCGCAGCTAAAAAAATAAATGAAATAGGTGCCACCCGGTCGCGACAAAACAATGGCTCCGCCCACTTACCACGGCGGCGCCCAGCTCCCATTTTCAACTGATACCTGATGGTGCATTTGTTCCGCTACTGACTCTCCATTTCGTGC